TTTCTCCATCATAAATGAAACTCAGTTTAGCTGGATACAGGATCCTGGGTTGAAAGTTATTTTGTTTTAGGAGATTAAAAGTCAATGACCATCCTCTTCTAGCCTGAAAGGTTTCGGCAGAGAGATCTGCAGTCATACTAATACTCTTCCCTTTGTAGGTTATGGTTTTCTTACGTCTAACTGCTTTCAGAATTTTCTCTTTCATATTAACTTTAGTGAGGTTAATTATGGTGTCCCTGGGGGATGTCTTGTTTGGGTTGAGTCGTGCTGGGGTTCTGAAACTGTCTGCTATCTGAATTTCAGAATCTCTTGGCATGTCTGGAAAGTTCTCTTTCATAATTTCATGAAGAAGAGCCTTTGTGTTTTGTGAAGCAACTTTGTCACCTTTAGGGATTCCTATAAGGCAAATAGTAGTTTTCTTCGAATTATCCCAGAGCTGTCTGAGAGAAAGATCATTTTTGCTCTCCATTTCTCTTCATCTTTGAGTGCTTGGGCATGTTCAAAAGTTTTGTCTTCAATGTCAGAGATTCTTTCTTCTGCCTACTCCATTCTGTTACTGAGGGATTCTACTGTATTTTTCAGATCTTTGAGGGCTGCAACTCTTGCCTCAATGTTTCAAAATCTTTGGTCATTTTATCTTTGAAGTTGTTGAATTCTTGTGACATCTTTTGAATAATTTCTTGAGATTGTAATTCCCTCCTTTCTTTCATTCTGTTAATCTTATTTGCTGTCCAAATTCTGAACTTGATTTCTGACATCTCAGCCATCTGTTTATGGATGGGATCCTCAATTGCATCTGCCCCATTTTTCCTTGGGGGAGCTGATCTACTCTGGTTATTCATGTTGCCTGAGTTTTTCCGCTGATTCTGCCCCATGCTGAATTTACATCGTTTGGAGTCTGTCCCAGAACCGTTCCTCCAGTGGCTACCACCGGAGAAGATGCTGGCTTCCTCTGGATGTCCAGAGAGACAGGGTGTGTCTGTCTGGAAAAGCCTCAGGAGTGTGAGCCTTATTGTTCCGTCTGCTGCGGCTGCTGCTCTTCGCCTTGGGGGTACCGCTGCTCTAGTATGGTTCTGTCTCAACTGACCATCCTCTCGCAGTTCTCAGGCCACCCGGGCCTGGTGAGGGTGGCTGGCCAGCGGAGATCCTCCTGCCACTAGGGGAACATGGGGCTCAAGCAGCAGGTCTCTGGCCACCCAGAGCCAGGCGAGGGTGGCAGGAGTAGTGGGTATTTTCTTGCCATTGGGGGAATGCAAGGCTCAGGCCGCAGGTCTCTGGCTGCCCAGTGCCTGGCGAGGGTGGCGGAGCAGCAGGGATCCCCTGCCACTGGGGGAACATGGGGCTCAAGTAGCAGGTCTCTCTGGCCACCCCGAGCCCGGTGAGGGTGGCAGGAGCAGTGGGGATCCACCTGCTACTGGGGGGAACATGGGGCTCTAGCAGTTCTCCGGCTTCAGGGCTGGGACAGGGCATTTGGTCCCGCAGGGGTTGGGGTACACTGCTCTTGGGCCTCCTCTCACTGTCTCTGCAGGCAAAGGGGGAAGGGTGAGCTGGAAATTCAAAATGGCAGTGAAAATGTTAGTTCAATTTTTCTGCCTGGCGAGAGATTGTTCGGAATCTGAGCAGAGTTCCTCTAGGGGAGTAGACCCCACTTCCTGTAGCTCTCACATGTGGGGTAAGGTAATAGGTACTCAGTTCATCACTCGCCTGTAGAAAACTTACAGGAGCAGACGAAGACAAAATAAAGAGAAAAACACAACTTTCTTGGGGGAGGGGATGGGCACTTTTCCTTTGGGATGAATTATGTACCTGTAGATTACTTTCTTAGAGTTGCAACTTGCCTCAGCAGAAGTGTCCTGCAGATAACGCTTTTCTCTCTTGGCTGAGCTCCCAGTCTTCAACTTTGTTGGGTAATTTTTGGACATTATCCTTCCCTCTGGATGGGAGCTTCTGTCAGAGGCTAGTGCCTGTTGGCCATCTTGCCCCTCCCCCTTTAGCCTTTTTTTTTGAGACAGAGCCTCAAGCTGTCACCCTGGGTAGAGTGCCATGGCATCACAGCTCACAGCAACCTCCAACTCCTGGGCTCAAGCGAGTCTCCTGCCTCCGCCTCCCAAGTAGCTGGGACTACAGGCGCCAACCACAATGGCCTGGCTATTTTTTGGTTGCAGCATCATTGTTGTTTGACGGGCCCAGGCTGGATTCGAACCTGCCAGCTCTGGTGTATGTGGCTGGTGCCTTAGCCGCTTGAACCACAGGTACCAAACCTTAGCCTTTTTTTTGAGACAGTGTCTCACTCTGCTGCCCAGGCTGGAGGGCAATGATGCCATCATAGCTCACTGCAGCCTAGAACTCCTGAGCTCTAAGGATCCTTCCATCTCAGCCTCCTGAGAAGCTGGGACTTTAGGTATGCACCTCCATGCCCAGTTAGGACTTTTGTATAGAGCAGCTTTAGATTTGCAGCGAAATTGGGAGGAAGGTAAAGAGATTTCTCATATGCCCTTTGCTCCCACATGTGCATGATCCTCCCATTAGCAATTTCCACCCACTGAGGTGGTACATTTGTTATAATTGATGATGTACCCAGATTGGCACATCACCACCCAGAGTCTATAGTTTACAGTAGGGTTCATTTTTGGTTTTGTATATTCTATGGGTTTGGACAAATATATAAATAGACAAATT